ATGAGCACGAAAGCTACTGCGGTGTGTTTGCAGCTCGTGGTGTTCCAGAACAGCCATTTCTGTATGCGAGGCAGCTTTCCTGAACCTAATAAATCTGTTTTAATTTTTAAGTTCTTAGTGAAATTCTAGATCACGAAACACAAGCTGAGCACACGAGGCTTATAAGGCTAAAATATGACTTTGAAGTAAACTCGGGCGCCACAGGCTAAACACAAAACAGTGCATACGCGCTGAATTAATGCTGATTTTCTGAAAGTCCCTTACCAGCAGTAATCTCTGAATAATACTAAAGTCATTCTTCGAATCAATTCCGAGAAACAAAGAGAAGTATGCAGCAGGGCAGAGTCTTTATCTTATAGATCAGAAATCTGTGTCAGCTGATAATGTTCTGCAGAAAGAATATGGATTTTGGAAATCCTCGAGACCTGGGCTGGCAACTCCGTTCTGCTGCTGGGGTCAGTGACTCAACGCCTCTGAACTCTAAAATTCTCACAAATATCCAATTCGCTTGAAAACCCTGAGACGAACGAACCCCCTACGAACTCACGATGAGGTCAATGAAGCCAAGGGCGCCGTGTGGCACCTGCCCCCAGGCCTGGCACGTGGATAATGACAGCTACCATTATCATTTTTGTTTGGAGAGTTTTTCTTTTTTTTACTCCTTACGTCCTCTCTGTTTATGGAGGAAAATGGCTTCCCGAATAGTTAAAGAGCATGAGGACAGGAGCCTAAGACACCCGGGTTTACACCGGGCACTAGGTCACGAGTCCACTAATCTACTGCTAAGAGATCTGAGCCCCGCTGTCTAAGCGGATCCATGAAGAAATCAAGATCTTGCAGAGCCATTCTGAAGGCCGAAGCGATCCATTTCACAACGTGTCCAGCCCAGAACAAGCTCTCTGTAACGGCAGACACGGACTCTTACGAGTCTTCTCTCCGATGCTCTCCTGCTCTGTATTAGAAAATCCACATTCATGGACTTTTTTTTTAAGTAGAAGTAGGAAAATTTTCCTCCATATACTTCACTACTTTGCAGAAAAACATAATTTCATATTAAAGATATCATATATTAATGTCTCATGAATACATTATACATAAGTCTCTTAAATAATATTTGTATAATGACTTATAGTTTGCAAAACACCCGTATATTTTGAGACTACGCTCTAAAATCGTTCCCCAAAGTAGCCGCTCCTGGCCGTGATTACTCCCATCACTGTTCTGACAACGCGCTCTGTCATCAAGATGTTTAATAATGAACAACGATGATAAACTTCAAATATGAAGGCGGTTACTTAAAATGTTCAATGTGCTAATAATGAATGTTAATAAACGTGTTACTGTCACAGGCCTATATTTTTAGAAATACTTGGCAGCTGAAACGGGTTAGATGAGCCTGAACGATGGGTCGCAGATGCTCCATCTCAGCCGTGGAGGCCTCCCCCAGGCAGGCTTCAACGAAGACACTTCCAGAAATGCTCTTGTAATTTCTCTGACTCCTTGAATATTTATATATTAAATATTGACCCTTTAATATTTAAAGGGTCAGTTCGGTGGCCTGTTGTCACTGAGGTTAAAATACAATCAAAAAAAAAATCTGGTAGGTGGTTTCTGGAACTTACCATGTAAACAGATGAAAAGAATACGGGTAACTTTCTTAATCGAAATACATGGATTAGATCAGATGCTGAGACGAAGGGTTTATTCTCCGAGCTCACTAGGACTGCAGTTAAATGCCGAGGACCGGAAAGCACCTCCTGTAAGACTGAGTTGTGTTACCGGCACAGAAACTTCACTGATGCTTAAGACTCATCAACAACATTTCCTACGTGTACGAGGTCAAAAGCAGACATCAGCCACAACCTGAAGTGCCATTAATTGCTCTGATAAACTTTTGGATAGATCGTTCCAAGAAGCAGCAGCCCGGCCCCCACTGAGGCGCCCAGGGTGTGTTTCCGGGACACCCGGACTCTGAGAGACCCGAGGGTGTAAGGGCAGCATCACTCTTCACCCTCCAGTGAGGGGCCTCAACAGCCGTGCCTGGGACAAGGTACACGGCTCCGGGTGCCACACTCCTCACTGCTGCCGTGTCATCCTCCATCCCGTCCTTGGTTTCGTGACCAGGGCCCATTACACCCACAGGATGTGACCTCTTGCATGGGTGACCGCCTCTTAGTAACTGGTGACTGCACAGCCCTGGATGGGCGCGAGCACTAGAGCGCTCTTGTCTAGATCTGCTTCCAAAATCCCTCCAGGGGCACGGCGTCAGCTTGTTTTGAAGCCTTCTCCTTCGTTCACTGCCTCTACCTTCCTCCTGTTACCTGCTAGGGATATCAGACCGTCTGGGGGGGTCTCGAGACTGTCCCAGTGTTTATTTTTTACCAGACCCATTAACCATCACCGATGTTTACAGCGTCAGTGATGCTTTCAAAGCAGTTTTACCCGTAACGTATTTTGGTCTTCGTGACAAGGGGACATGAGACGAGGAAGAGGCATGCAAAGGTTATAGGACGCGCCTGAGTCGCCTGAAGCTGGTGTCCAAACAGACTCTGAGTTTGGGCTCACTTCACCCCCGTTCCTATTTCATCATTTGTTGGTCTTTGGATCAGGCTGGTGTTGGGAATTCTTTCCTCACCAGCTATGTGATTTTTGAATATATTGGTGTTAAACCCTCAATTTTTGACTTCCTTGTTGGTAAATGGAGGATCCCAATGCCTACCTCATAGGGTTACTTTGATGACGAAATGAAACGGTACACAGAAAGTAAAAAACCTAGAATAAAGGAAAGCGTTTAAAAATGTTGGTCCTCCCAGTCCCCTCCTGGGAGTCTCCACCTAAAGGAACTTGCCCTAGGTCTGCGGAGCTTACCTGAAGTCACTCTAATTCCGTGGTGGGCCGGGGGCTGAGCGTATTACTGTATCACCGGGGCCCCAACATTTCATTAAACCCCGCAAGCGTTTATCAGTCCTCTACTAGACCTCAGCACGGTGCTAAGTTCTACAGATGCGCACATGAAGCAGCGGCAGCCAAGGAATTTTGGCAGCAACAAGAACCAGTCTTGATTTCCTAGAAAATAAAGATATTCCACGAGGGGCCCGCCTGCCAAGTTTAACCGGGCCTTTTGAAAATTCTCCCAAATAATTCCAAATGGAATAAAAGGACTTAAGGAGCTTGTAGGTGCTACAGTTTGCTCTTGCATGGCATGGCACGCTCTGCCAAACCCCAAAGTCTTATTTTCCTGGGCAGGGGTTGCTGCATCCAGACCATATCATGACGTGGGGTGAGGGAAGGAACATGGAAGAGCCAGTCTCAGAGGGGCCCAGGGGCGAAAGGATCATAAATGCGTGCGGAGTTTCGGCTTGGTTTCCAGGACTTGAGTCACCAAGGTTATAAGATACCTTGGGGCAATACTACCCATTTGGTATTTTCTCTATCCTCCTTCAGTGCCTGGGAACAGAAATATTTGTTGGGTTGAGTTTTAGCCTCTGCGTCAAACCTCACAGACAGACAGACAGACAGACGCGGTGATTATGATCCCACTGCATCTGGACGAGCCCTTCATAAGGAGGGTATTTATGGCCACCTAGAGCATCTTGAAAAGACTTTTCAAGCTCAAATCTACTGAAATCTCAGCATGCTTTGGTTTAAACTATACACCTCACCGTCAGCCACAGGAACTAGCGTGTGAGGCCAAGTGCGGCGAGAGACAGCCCGGGTTTGGGGTCGGACACGTTGGCTGCCGTCCTGCCTCTTCTTGTGATTTCAGGCAACAACCCAACCTCTTAGGGCCATAGACCTCCTGTTTTTAGAATGGGTATGATAGGATCTATCTCATAGCATTACCGGGAAACCTGCCTGAGATGGACCGTCACATAAAAACACAGGTCACAATTTTTGAGCGTTCAGTAAGTATTAGGCTATTCCAAGCACTTTTCACTTAACTGATTTAAGCTTTACCATAATTCAAGGGGATGGATGTATTATTATTCCCATTTTAGAGATAAGGAAATCAAGGCACAGAAAGTATTTTTAAAGACCTTGCCACGGGGGTGCCTGGGGGGCTCAGCGGTTGGCCACCTGCCTTTGGCCCAGGTCGTGACCCCGGGGTCCCGGGATCGAGTCCCACATCGGGGTCCCCGCGGGGAGCCTGCTTCTCCCTCTGCCTGTGTCTCTGCCTCTCTCTCTGGGTCTCTCATGAATAAATAAAATATTTTAAAAAATGAATAAATAAATAAAATCTTTAAAAACAAACAAACACTTTGCCACAGTCTTTTACTAGCTGCTGAGCAGGAACTCAAACTCAGAGTCTGCTAGTCTCGCTCCAGATCTGCGTTCCCGACCGTCTTGCTTTGGGGCCTTGCTCTGTCATCGCAGCTCACTACATGCCCACTGCTGCACACCCTGGATTGCAGTATATATAAAAAAAAATGCAACAGATCCCACCTTTCCAGAAATAAAAGAGTTACACCGAGGACACAGGGCACGTGCATATGGAGACACAAAGTGCTACTCAATAAAGTCGTTAAATGTCAGAGGCGGGTGTAACCACAAGTTCTACAGCAGGTTGGGAGGAAGGACACATTTGGGATGGAGCATCGGCACGATTTTGTAACGTAGGTGGAACTGGACTTAGGCCTTGGAGGAAAAACAGAACTAAAACCAGCTAGGAGGATTCGGGGAAGTTATTTCAGATCGTCGGCACAGCAAGGACGAGGCTTTCTGCGTCCAGGAGAGAAGGCTCGGAGGCAGTGGGGAAGGTTTCTACAGGGGAACACTGAAACTGGGGACCGGGAGGACGTTTAAAGCCGTCTGTGCGGCGTCTGAGAAGCCCGGAGAGGAGCGAGGGCCTCCCGTGGGACGGCCACCGGGGGTTCCTGGGGGTCTGTGCCATGCCAGCCACGGGCGCGTGCAGGAGGCTGACGAGGTGGCAGGGCAAGGACGCACGGGGTGGGGGCACCGCGGGGTGGGGATCGGAGCGCGCGCCGGGAGGGCACACGTACCTACATTCAGACACGTCTCGGCGATCCGCGAGGATTATCTGGTTGGTGGATATTCCATGGCCCACTCACCACCGCCTGTCCCCGTGGCTTCTTCTCTGCTTGTTAGCACCTGGCGGTGGAGATGGAGACAGAGTGGTTTCCCAGTTAGTCTTTTGTTTCATTGTGATTATTATTATTTTGCTGCTCCTTAGTAGCTATGGTTAAAGATGTGTTATGAGAAGAAGCAGAAGTATTTCAGATGCTCAGAACATTTCTCTCTCCTTCCTTCCTTCCTTCCTTCCTTCCTTCCTTCCTTCCTTCCTTCCTTCCTTCCTTCTTCCGTCTCTTTCTTTCTTATATGGTACTCCCAGGGCCTTTATCACACAATTTGCTGATGAGCAGCAGAGCTCACATGTGAGCCTAACCCTGGCATATGTCATCGTTCATCCCCCTTTGATCAGAGACGGGGGCTACGCACATGCACTTTCAGGTAATGCTTCCTGCAGCAGAACCTTGTGCTGACCGTGCTGCTGCTGGAGTTTTTAGGTGAGAGGGGTTCGATGTACTCTCTGCACACTGCGGATCTCCAGTCTGCCCTTATGGCCGTATGGCGATTATCCACATCGATCACGTTTACCTTTGCTACCACTTTGATATATTAAGTGCCTGCTGCTTCTTCCTAAGTTGAAGACAGGACACCAGGAGACCTGAGTGATTCTCTAGCTGCGGGGTACACCTGTGGCTCTAACACTAAAGCGCCATATTACAGAGAGAGAAGGAAAGAAAGAAGAAGGAAGAAAAGAAAGAAGGAAGGAAAGAAAGAAAGAAAAAAAAGGAAAGAAGGAAGAAAATGAAAAAAAAATTAAAAAAAGAATAAAATAGGTTGGCAATATCCAAGTCTTTTTCTTTTATTTGTTAAAGATTTTATTTATTCATGAGAGACACTGAAAGAGAGAGAGGCAGAGACCAGGCAGAGGGTCTGCCTGGGTCTCTGCCTCTCTCTCTCTCTCTCTCGGTCTCTCATGAATAAATAAATAAAATATTTCTTAAAAAATTGTATATGCTTGGCTAACAGCCAGCTGCCGACTCTCCCCTCTGCTCCAACACCCTTTCACACATCGCTTCCAGTTCTTCCACCTGCTCCTCGTGCATTCCCCCCTCACTATCCCAACACCGCCCAGACGGTTCCAGAGAAGCCGGAGAGGCAGCAGGAACAAGCCCACACACTCGGTTCCAGGAGGCACGCGTGAATGATGCTGTGCACCCGTCGGCCCGCACGCTGGACCCACCGCGCGGGAGACCCCCGCACGCTCCCCACGCCCGCGGACCTCCGCGTGAGACCAAGCGAAAAAAGCCTCCACCTCTCCGCTTCTCAATTTGTTTGAGAAGCGAGAATTATTTGTAAAGTCCCAAAATAAACAGAAATCATTGTAATTATGAATAATTAAAATGCTGAACTCAAGAGGGCACTCAACATTCGTCACGCCGCGGAACCCATCCCCTAAGGGTAGTACCTTCAATTAGGTCGGGTCTACGACAAGAAAAATGTGACAATCGGTAATTGCAGGTATTTAGCACAAGGAAGAAAACAAGCTAACTTGCTTTTAGGTCACTCTCTCTCAGCCAGCAGAGGCACTGCTCTCTTCGGGATTTTTAAGGTCTATACTAACCCCAGGAAACAGAAACGCAAGAGAGAGCAGGATGGCAAGAAAAACACGCCGCCCCACGGGGCTAAGGCGAGGCTCGTGGGCTTTGTTCAGCATCTGGGAAAGGTTCAAGTAGAAGGTGTCACACCCAATAAGTAGCTTTAAAAGATAATCTTTTGAAGGATATTTTGTAAGATTTATCAATCTTTTTACTCAACCTACAAATATTGACTAAGCACTTGCCGTGTTATGGTTCACGCTAAGTGACAGTTCCATCGCACTATAAAAACCAGCCAATGGTTATTTTTTCTTTTTGACTCTATACAAATTACCAGAGAGAAGTTTGAACAGAGCGATATAGTCTTATCTTCTGACAAATATAAAGTTTGGTGTATACATAGATAGCTGCTACCTAGAAAATGAAGCTATTCAATGCATTATTCCGCATTACTCTTGAAGTTGTACTAAATTATTTTAATTAAAAAAAATGAGTCACAAACTATTCAGCGTTTTTCCTCAGCGCCTCATCCATGAGAAGTAGATTTTTTTCCTTACAAAAGATATCCATTTTTTTGTAGTGATAAGTGTTATTCCCGTTATCAGAATTTTTGTGAGATGTTTATAGACCCCAAATAGTACGTCAAGTTGGAAGTGGCTCAGAAAACAGTAACTGCAGTTTTGTATCTAAGAGGCTATAGCAAAGCAGACTTTTTTGCTTCGATTCAATTTCCAATTGACAACAATGACCTAAGGAAGAGTTATCTTTTACTAGCTGCCACTTTGGAAAGATACATTTTGCCTTTCATTTAAGTAGAGGAAAGAATTCATTAGAAATGTGATGCAAGTCCTTTCAGAATGATAAATCTCAAGTTACTGATTCCACTTCTAATGATTAGTTGCCTGAGTCTTGTATTTAATTAAAATGGTTATTTTAAATGCTTATATTTAATTTACACATAATTAGCTAAACCTCAACGTTACTGCTTCATCCATTTCGAAATTAATTAATTTATAAAATAGCTCAAAAAGCGCTGTAAAATTTTAACATTAAGATAAATCAGGGGCAGCTCCGGTGGCTCAGCGGTTTAGCGCCGCCTTCGGCCCAGGGCGTGATCCTAGAGTCCCGGGATGGAGTCCCGCGTCGGGCTCCCTGCATGGAGCCTGCTTCTCCCCTTGCCTGTGTCGCTCTCTGTGTCTCTCTCATGAATAAATAAATAAAATATTTAAAAAAAAGATAAATCAGGATTCCTTTGTATCTTGTGTTGGTTTCAGTTGTAACTCCTAATGAGCCAGTTGTAGTAGGTGTGACTCTAGGCTACCTCGATGGGCTCATAGGTAGTAGAATCCAATATTGATGCATCATTGATGTTTCCTTTGTACATAGGACGCGTGCTTTAACCTCTTAGGTAACAACAGTCTATACAGCCAAGGATCTGATTGCTCTGACTATAAAGGGAACTAAATTTTATAGACTGATTCTTGTTTTTTGTTTTGTTTTATTATTTTTTTAAACTTTGGTTTTCATACATTTAGGGGAAACCACTGCTTTTAGCACATGACTCATGAATGTGTAACAATCGGGATCCCTGGGTGGCGCAGTGGTTTGGCGCCTGCCTTTGGCCCAGGGCGTGATCCTGGAGACCCGGGATCGAATCCCACATCGGGCTCCCGGTGCATGGAGCCTGCTTCTCCCTCTGCCTATGTCTCTGCCTCTCTCTCTCTCTGTGACTATCATAAATAAATAAAAATCAAAAAAAAATGTGTAACAATCGGTATTAAAAAAAAAACCTTTGAGTCAGTCTGATAATGGAACCAGGACATGTTCTGACTTCACCTTCTATTTAAACACACAACATGGTTTATATACCTAGGAACCAAGAGAGAACAGGTGGTAACGTACGGCAGTTTTTCCGGGCTTACAGATTCCAAGGAAATCCGAATCACCGACAATAACCATCGCAGTGGCTGTCCCGGGGCCAGTGAGGAGCTCCATCTATGAATATCCCACTCCTCGGTGTGTCTGGTGGAAAAACTGCCAGGCTGTGCAAATCTCTTAATGATATTGCTACCATGTATTAGCTACCAAACACGTGTTGGCACTGACCTTAATGCCTCATGAGCTGGCGTTATAAGGTCCATTTAACAGGTGGACAAAGTGAGGCCTGGGGAGTCCAAGGCACTTGCCAAGGGCCCCGTAGCTAGTAGCGGAAGAGGCAGGATGCACAACCTCACGGCACAGCTCTACGCCTCACTGCCCCAGCTCCCAACCCAGAGCCCTCCAGGAGGCATTTCCAGTCGTGAGATGCTTATAAGCACCACCACCACCAGCACCAAACACCTCTCCCTTGCAATAACAGTGTGAGCTAATTAAAAGACGAAGGCAACACAGTTGGCTCAGCTGTTTAGGAATTAAAATCTACTGCTCCCAATATTAGACTCTCTCATATCGATATACACAGAATTTTCTGGTATTTTATTAAAACCTGGACCCTTCCGGTGGGGGAATCTGTTCCTGCCATTCTCCGATTAGAAGCTCAAACCTTTTGCATCGCCTCCCGCCCTTGAGGAATCCTAATTCTGAGCAGGCTCAGCTTTACGCGTGAAATGAAGCTCCGCAGAGTGTTTCTCCTCTTTTCACACCAGGACAATTACGCGGCGTTCCAGGATGCCTTTAAGCTGTACCGTATCTCCATTACCTCAACTGCCATCTGTTTTCTATTTCTTTCAACCCTCCTCCCTGGTACCCTAAACAATGAATGATATTCCCACTCAAGAGCCAGACTTCGTGCATTCCCTGCCAAGGATGTGGGTTAACATATATAGATATCCCTCCTGTTTAGGTAAGACGATACGAGGCTGTGATCAAAGCCAATTATCTATTGATTTTTCAGTTTACCTTTCCAACTTTCAACCCTTATCTTCATTGTGGAAATCCTCAAAAGATCCGAAGCATCGGATCCATCACAAATTAATCATAACGGGGAAGTACTATTTGAGGAATGAGTAGGGGTAGACACACGGGCGCATCTGCTTTGTTCATCTTGCTAAGGCCTCTAAATGCCATCTGTTTTCCATTCTTTCCTGGCTACCATCTTTCCCTAGGTTAAAAGATTTTAAAATGACCGTGGGGGTGGGGGGGAGAAAAAAAAAAACTCAACTTGAAAACTAGTTTGAGTTTTAATTCTGTATTTCATCTGCCAAATAGTGAAGTACAGTCAGCCTCAGCAAGTGTTCCTAATAGATAAGGGAGCTGTTGCTTCCCATATAATTACGTGGAGTCTGACGGTGGACAGAGCCAAGCGTATCATCTTCGTACTATCAGAAGTGCTAGTAAGTCTGAAAGAAATCCATTTTGAGGAGGGTCTGAGCTACTTTTATTTTACTTCAAGTAAGGGTTATCATGGAGTAAAACTGATAATTCTTTGGGGGAACGAGTTTTGGAATATATTCATGAAAAAAAAAGTATGAAAGGGTAAATGAAACT